ATTCTACTGAATAGCAACCTGTGACGAGAAACCAGCTAACGACAATATGAGCTGCTGTGACCTATAAGTTAGATATTATACTAATTTTGTGACTAACGACATTAGTCTCGTGATTGTTGATTTCAAGTTGTGATCGCAGCAAAATACACTATTACCTGTAACGATGATTTTAGGACTATTAGCCAGGGACGATTAGCACTTCTGTGGCCAGCAATGATTTTTGGTTCCCTGCAACGATGATTTTAGGACCAATTCGTGTTACGAAATTCAATTCGGAATGTGACATTCGAATCGACGAAAAAACATTCATATTATTACCTGGATTGGCTTCTCCAGCAATTATTTTATTTTTATGGAATCGACACCAATCTCTGTGACCTGATAGAGTAATGAAATCGACCAATTTGTAGTAAAATCAATTGGCAACATCAATTTCGTTGCCGTGCATAATGAAATTCGGTAGATTTTTTGGAATTTTTGGTTACGGATTTTTTACATTTGGACTCCTATTATATATGCTGAGCAAGCTTAATTGTAGGAGACATATAATAGAATATCTCTCTCTCTCTCTCTATCTCTATCTTTATCACTATATATATATATATAGGTTTTGATTTGGGAATTCTATACCCCTGAGTTGTGATTTTTTCCCTAGTTGAAATTGGATACTTGCCCAGGCTTCTTAAGGCCGAGCAGTTGCCCAGTCCATAGTGCCGAATTATAACAACTTTTTAATTTTTATATTTTGGTCATCTTCTTCATTATTTCTCCAATTTTGATCATTCACTTTAAATTAGTTCTATTTTGGTCCTTCAGCTTCTTCTCATGTGTACAATAGTCCCCAAACCATCAATCTAATCATCGATTCATCATTCATTCTTTCTTTTTCAATTGCTTACAAACGATTCCAAAACTGAAATAAGAGAAAATTAATCCAAGTTAAATAAAATTTAACACTTTGATGACATGAAAGCTTAGTAATTTGGCTCGAATATTTGCACAAAATGTATTTATCATATTTCTATAAATGATACGAATATGCATAATACATAAAAATCTCTAATATCAATAAAAGATCACACAAAGAAGAAAAACAAGTTTCTTTAACAAACTGAGATATTTGATCGATCGACACCCAAACGGATGAAAACAATAATAGTATAGGTTAGGGTACTAGTAGAGCCAGCAAATGAACTAATCCTCCAAAACCCCTTTCCGTCAAAACTTATCACTCCATCTATGTACGGGCTGCTAGGCTAACTTGAAACGACCACAACTGCACCACTCCACTAAAAACTACACTATCATCAATAGTGGTATTTTCTCTATCGGATTTTATGATGATTACTACTATGTGCTAAACCTATTTTTGATTTCCCGAAAGCAAAATTTGACACTAATTCATTCAATTATTGGCCAAATAATTGAAGACATCAAAACTACAGCAATAAATTCAAATGACCAAATGCATAAAATAAAAATCGAAAAGAATTTATAATTACCACCGAGCTAATCGCCCATATATTTTATCAATCTTCTTCCTTTAGTGGTATCTTAATGTAACATAACATATATAAAAACAGAGATTTCATCATCATCCCAATGCATATAAATTTAGCCTAGCATTCTTGAGTTATTAAAACATATGTAAATATAGAAAGACATCAATTGGATTTTAGAAAAGACAAGAAAAATAGATAATTGTAAAGTCTTGTAGCATGAACTTGCATTCTCCACCACTGTCTTTTCTTTTTCTTTGATTTTCTTCAAACAATAGATGTAATCTTGTGTGCATCTTTGTTTTTGGCTCTCTAGAAAACTCTGCATTTTGAAGCTATTACCATTTTTTACATATAGGTATAGACTTTAGGTCTTAATCTCCTGCCAAGAATACCAAGTTTGCCCTGGAAATTTCACCCAAAAGTTGAAAATTGAGTTGTTGGCATCTGTTTCTCAAATCTTGCTTAAACGAGAAAAACCTGCAATAGCCCTTTTTATTGTTATTGCTTAAGCAAAGTAGCTTTTTTTAAACAAGAAGTGCCTCTTTCAAAATCTTCCAATCTAGATTTTTCTTATATTAGGAGTTGAGGAACTCATGCTTTAAGCAAGACATACAAAATAAATTTTAATTCTTGTTCATCTTCCTTGCCACAAGTCTTCAATTTCTTTTCGTTCACTCTTCTAATTTGATCAATGTATCTCAAGCTTTAAAATGTTGTCCTAAAACATAACATGTTGAATTTAGACAATAAAATAGATTTTATTTATTAAATAGAATTTTACAATTTTGGACACACTCACACTTATTTTATTTATAGAAGACCACTCTCACACTCAATTCCTAGACCCACTAGAGCATTTATTCTATCTCTCTATTTCTCTCTCTGCTTACCACTCTCTACTCACACAGCATTCACACACTTTTCTCTCTTGACATATACACAAGGCAAACACACACATATATACATGCAAGGTTAGTGGTTGAAGCATCTAGGATCGCAGTGGAAATGGTTTGATAAATCTAGATTATTCTTGCTATTGGGAAATAATATAGTAGCTTGTGTAGGACCTTCTCTACCTTGCTGCCAATTATGGATGATTCCAGCAACAACAAAAAATATACCAGTTGAAGCAACCACAAAATTATGGAAATTTCTTTAAAGTTTGTGATGATCTTCAATTCTTTCCTTCAGAACTGACCTTTCATTTTACTTCTTCTCTTTTTATAATCCCTAGCTGTCTCGAAACTCTTTAAATTTTGAAGTACCGAGTCCTTTCGTTAACACATCTGCAACTTGTTCCTCAGTGTTAACATGTTTGAAATCTATCTCTCCTTTAAGCACTTTTCCTCTAACGAA